GATAAAAATGAAGTGATCAAGCTGCTCAGCCACCATGCAATAACAAACCAATATCAGTTCAAAGTGGAGAAGTCTTGTCCAAAGCAATACTACGTGAAGTGCATATGTACGAAGTGCAAATGGTACGTTAAAGCGTAAAGGTAGGAAATTCCCACATTTTCAAGATTCGGGATGTTGGGGGCGACCATTCATGTCCATTTGAGATACGTACAAGTAGTCAACGACAGGCTACATCCAACATTGTAAGTGGGTTTATTCGATCGAGATTCACAAATTTGAAGACAACTTATGTTCCAGGGGACATAATACACGACATGCAAGTTCAGCATGGAAAAGAGTTGTCTTACCAGAAGGCATGGAGGTCAAAAAGAAAAGCTATGGACGAAGTGCGAGGTAATCCAGACATGTCTTATGGTAAAATAAACGAGTACTTGCAAAAAGTTTGTGAATCGAATCCAAATAGTGTTGTGAAATTGTCTGCCACCTCGGACTAGCACTTCATGTACGTATTCATGTGTCTTAATGCTTCAATTAAAGGTTGGAATCATTGTAGACCTATTATTGTTGTCGATGGGACATTTCTTAGTTCGGCTTATGGAGGGATATTGCTTACAGCATGTTGTCAAGATGCCAACTCCCATATACTTCCATTGGCATTCTGTATTGTTGATTCTGAGAATAATGATTCGTACACATGGTTCTTTACAAAGTTGAGGGAAGTACTGACTGTCCGGGAAGGTTTATGCATTGTCTCTGATAGACATGAAAGTATAAAACATGCAGTTGCAAAGGTATACCTATGATATCGTAGATATATATACGTGAAATATACAGTAAGTAAACAAACTCATATGTTGTAATGTTACTGTTAGTCATTTAAATACATTTCGGTTATTATGCAGGTATATCCAGAGGCTGCACACTGTTTATGTGCCTATCATTTATCGAACAACTTGCGGACACATTTCAAGAAGGAACCAAGCGCTGTTAAGGATGCCTTTAATGCAGCTGCGAGGGCATACACTATTGATGAGTATAATCATCATATGGTGGAGATAAATCAACTTGATCCTCGAGTACCCCCGTGGCTGGAGAAAATTGGAATACAAAAATGGGCAAGGATTCATTGTCCAAGAAACAGGTATTTTACGATGACGTCCAATGCGGCAGAAGCAATTAACTCAGCCACGAGGGAGATACGTGACTTACCAATAACAACACTTTTGGAGTCATTGAGATCTTTACAACAAAAGTGGAATGTTGCTAATAGAGATGAAGCAGCATCGACGTTTACCACGTTAGCAAAGAAGGCTCACAAGACGCTCGAAAACAATTATAAAGTAGCTGCCAGCTTTTCGGTGAGACACATTAAATTATATAACATTATGTTATATATATATACACATTTATATATAAATTTGTATATATACCATTTAGTACCCGATGTATCATTCGAAACTTGCTTCAATTTTTTTTTTTCTTTTAGATACAAAAGGCAAGCGACAAGGTGTTTAAGGTGTCATCCGATAGAAGTGGATTTGTAGTAGATTTGGAGACGAAGTCTTGCACATGCAATCGTTTCCAGATGGATGAATTGCCTTGTCCACATGCTATCCGAGTAATTAGAGCCCTTCATTTGGATCCAGTTACATTTTGTTCAATCCATTACTTAACGGATACGATGCTAGCTACGTATGCAGAGCCAGTTTTGCCTATTGAGGCAAGCCAAAAATGCAGCCCCGTTGATTCTGATGGCATTGGAAATATCAATCCACCTACTGGAAGAGTGAGGCCCGGACGTCGGCGACAGCAAAGACTCAAACCGGGATGGGAGTCTCGGGTAAAAAACAGGTGCAGCAAATGTGGTGAGAAAGGGTATAATCTAAAGACATGTTCAAATCCGAAGAGAGTTAAACAAAATTAGATTAATGTGTTTTCTTAGTGTTTTATTTGTGGTATGGGTTAATTTTTAGATTGGTCGGTTGTTGTTTACTTGTGGTACAATTGTACTGGACTCTTTTATTAAAAAAATTAATGTTGCAATTCAAATCTATATGCGTTTTACACTGTAGGTATTTGTTTATGTACTGTGTATCTTTTGGGTATATATATGCACAATAAATGGTGTGTGCATTTAAAATAAAAAAATTATTTATGTAGTGTTTATCTTATGTGTATATATACACAATAGATGATGTTTGTGCATTACTATATCTGTTTATGTATTGTTTATCGTAATGTATATATAAGCACAATAAACGGTTTTGTGCATTAAAAAAATCTATTTATGTAATGTTTATTTTATGTGTATATATGTACAAAATAAACGGTGTGTGCATAAAAAAAAAAGTTTATGTAATGTTTATATCATGTGTATATAAAAAATCAAATTGTTTATGCGGTGTTTATCTTATGTGTATATATGAACATTAGATGATTGTGTGTGCATTACAATATATGTTTATGTACAGTTTATCTTATATGTATATAAAAAAATCAAATTATTTATGTAGTGTTTATCTTATGTGTATATATGCACAATAGATGATGTGTGTGCATTACAATATCTGTTTATGTACTGTTTATCTTATGTGTATATATAAGCACAATAAACAGTGTGTGTGCATTAAAAAATCTGGGTATGTAATGTTTATATTGTGTATATATGTACAAAATAAACGGTGTGTGCATAAAATAAAAAAAAAATGTTTACGTACTGTTTATCAGAAAAAGTTCATTTAGATAGGTTAACCTAATGAAAATAAAATATCCAAAAATGCAACATCAACCTTCATTGAAGTTCACCAGCAAAAAAAGGGGAAAAAAAATAAGAAACACAAAATAATGCCAAAAAGTACCAACATTGTTCAACTATCCAAAAGGTAGGCATATTCTAACTATGTGATGTGAGCTTTGCACGTTCTATATCATCAAGCATCCCGGGGGAATAATCGTCGCTCTCACACGATTTTTCTTGCTTCATAATACCATGTTGGTATAACAGGTATGAGTACCTCATCCTCTCCGTGTCGGGATCGTAGTCCTTCGGGATATCAAACTTCGTGATGAAGTATTCGGCAAATGAGGCGACAAATATTCCGCAATCTCTGAAAAGAAAAAATGTATAAAAAAATTGTTAATACAACGTTAAATTTACGTGGATGACTACATAAATGTTGATAACAAGTTAATAGATTTTACCCTTGATGCTGCTGAGGAAGATTTTCAGCCATAATAACATCGAGTGGATCAATCATCCCTTTTCCATCGAATCCTTTTCCCACAGTTTTGATGTCGGTCCTTTTGGAATAGAAGTGGATCATACCGAGGAAAATAGGAATTATGGTAGAGTAGCACCGAACACCGTCGTACACAATCTTGTCATACTCTTCAGATCGAAGAGAATTGTATACAACAATACTCCTCTCAGCAATGGAAAATCGCCCAAGTACCCAGTGGCCAACACCATTGAAATCAATATGAATAGGAAAGAAGACATGATCAACATCAAACCAGGACTCGCCACAAATTATCTTCTTTCCCAATATATAGTCTACAATGATGTTCTCCAAAGAACACACACCCGTATCTGAACCTTCCGAAATGTAATAAGCATAAAGAGCTTTTATTTTTTGATCAAAGAAAACGTCGGTGGTTGTGTACCGTGTTATCATCCGACTCGGCAAGACGCTGTAAAGAGGTTTTGAGCATCCTATTAAACGTGATTAACAGTTAAACCGACATGAATCAGAACCGCACCGACCTACACCAAAGAACCGGTCTGAACCACCGAAGACCGAAGTGATCGACGATTACCGAGATCAACATCCACCGAGGACAACTTGAACCGAGGTCGTCACCTCCTTAAGCAGGTGACAAGGCGTCTACGAGAGGCTCTCCTACTCCACAAGATCTATCATCATTTACGTGGGGCCCCCTGCCTCGAGCCGCCCATAAAAAGTCACTTTAGTCAAAAAGTAATACGCGGATCCCGATGCCTCAGTCCAAAACTACTATAAATAGCGGACCTATGACAATTGTAAAGGGATCGATCTCTCTCAGTTTTTCTAAACATTACCGAACTGTAAACCCTTTACTACGTAACACGTAAAAGCCCATCACGGCTCTTCACCTCGGTTCACCTCGGACCGGGGCCATTGTTGATTCAACCTTACATGCTTTACGTTCAAATCATTCCGAATTACTCACGTAATCATATATTACATCGTTGTTAAGAATTACATAACGACATACCGTACGACTTCGTTTGACCCATATGGTCCAAGCTTTCTCAAATAATAGAATAGTACATCCATATGTTGTATATGAATGATAATTCACATTTATTATCACGAATTTAAATATTTAATTATTAATAAAATAATGGATTGCACTGTTTAAGTAACTATGTACTTACACTGTCATCAAGAAATGTACCAGGGTCTTGGAGCCTCCTAAACCAATTCTTGTCAGTGATACGGGCAACATTGAAGTCGAATGGTCTCTTGAGTTGCCTGTATTTCTTAAGGTAGTGCTCCGTCCTTTTAAGAATTTAATATTTATCACAACATATATATTGTAGTAATTGAAATATAGAATACAGAAGACTGTTTTTCATTTGTAACAAGCTAAAAGATAATTAGACTTTTTTTTTTAAAAAAAAAGTACTAATACTTATTAAACAGTATTATATCGTGTAAGATGAATAGTAAGTATACAAAAATATGAAACTTACTCGTGTTCACTAATCTTTCGAAAAGTCTGAAGAGAACCCATTCTAAGCCACCTCATGAAATCTTCTGTTTCACCGTAAAAAACATCCTTCCAGAACGGAACATTGAATGGACATGAATGTTTAAGCACATTCCGTTTCTTTAAACCGACTACAATAGGGTTTAACACCGCCGGTTTGACTTTCTTAGCAGGTATGTCCACAACTTTTTCCTACAAAGTACATAAATTATAAATAATTATTGTAAACATCCTTTATGAATGGATTTTGGGATCATTATGTCAACTCACAGTAACAATGTTTGAAGGGTGCACATCACTCGAAGTTTGTGGTGGATTTAGATCTTTGGTAATTGCGTCAAATGATGGTTGAGATGGTAGTTGAGACACATTACTGGTTCGGATTTGAGACCAATGCGTTCATTCAGTGAAAGACCATAACCTGAAACTTTCTGCACAATAAATTTGAAGTATTTATTACAAATAAATATAAAAAATGTATGTGGTTTAAATGAAGGACATTAATACAATGTATATGTTTATCTAATGTATATGCTTAATATAAATACACTAAATCAGGAGAAAACATAATGTGTATTTTTTAAACCTTTTCCTTGTCGATAGATCGACTTTTTGTTATTGCTTCAGTAGCCCTATCAATTTCGGCTAGAAATTGAGTGTTGATGGGAGAGAAAGTGTCAACATCAACATCAGTATTCAACTGTAAAATAAAAAATAAAAAATATAATCGATGAATTTGAAGAAATAATTCAGATTTACTGTATATATACACTATATAAACAATATATAAACAAAAAAGGAAAAAATCACATAATATAATATATATATATATATATATAAATATATATATATATATATATATATATATATATTTTGTATATAAACATTTATACAAAAGATCTGTATATACATGGGTATTTAAATACATCATGTTCAGTTATAGCTATTTATGGTATATAAAATGTAGATATCTAGTCTATATATATCGTATAAACATTACATGTTAACTTAAACTATATATATACAATATGTAAACAAAAATTTTTTATAAGAATGATAGTTGAGATTACATACTCCGTTTGGATCATTTGCAACGTCGGTATCTTGTCCAACATTGACATCAACATCAGCATTGAACTGTTAAAAAAAAAGAATAAAAAATATAATCGATGAATTTGAACAAATAATTCAACATTACTGTATATATACACTATATAAACAGTATATAAACAAAAACTGGAAAAATCACATATATATATATATATTATATTTTGTATATAAAGATTTATATAAAAGATCTGTATATACATGGGTTTTTAAATACATCATGTTCAGTTATAGCTATGTATGGTATATAAAATGTAGATATCTAGTATATACACATTGTATAAACAGTACATGTTAACTTAAACTATATATATACAATATGTAGACAAAAGATAGTTATAAAAATGATAGTCGAGATTACATACTCCTTTTGGATCATGTGCCGAGTCGGTATCTTGTCCAACTTAGGCATCAACATCATCAGCATTAAACCGGTTGACTGCTTCTTCATTCTATGGGCAGTAAAAAAAAATATAATCGATAAAATTGAACAAATAATTCATATTTACTGTATATATACACTACATAAACAGTGTATAAACAAAAATGATAAAATGACATAATAATGAACATGTTCAGATATAATATTAAATATATATATTGAATATAAACGTCATAAAAAATATATGTATATACACGAATATTTAAATACTACATGTTTAGTTATAGCTATATACGTTATATAAATGGTATATATCTAGCATATATACCTTGTATAAACAGTACATGTTATCATATAATACATGTAGATATATATATATACAATAGGTAAACAAAAAAAATTTATAAGAATGATAGTTGAGATTACATACTCCTTTTGGATCATTTTCAACGTCAGTATCTTGTCCAACATTGGCATCAACATCACCTTCCTGAATTTATTTAAAGCACAAAATTTGTAAAAAAACAAATTATATTATCTCTGTCAAACAAAACAACTCTGGTATGACAGATAGCAATGAGTGTTAAAATAAACTTTTACCTCGGGATGACCTGTATCAACATCAAGGTTTGTGGCACGGCCTGTGGCATCGTTTGGGACATCGGCTGCAAACTGGTGATGTGATTGTGCTCCAAGATTTCCACCCTTTTTAAAAAATATTTATGCAGAAAAAAAAAAATCAATTAAATATATGAATAAATATGGAAAAATTACAAATTTTCATTAAAGTTACAATTTTTTTTTAAACAACATAAACGAACCAATATCATTTCTTTGAGCATGGCAAAGTCATTAGCACTCTTGGTTGAAAACTCCATAAACAGATTCTTTATCATTTCAAGCTCGTTGGCCATGTCTGTCTGTTTTTGTCCCATCTCATCCAATCGGTTAAGTATCTCCGATTGGATGTGCGTTGGACCATTAGATGACGAGTCGTCGTCTACGAGAAATTGATTTTTTTTCTTGAAGAACCCATCTAACTGAAGATTGGATTTCTCAAACTCTGTCGGGCTCAAGTTGTTGAACTGAAAAAGTTAATGATTATCAAAAGAACCAGAAATAGTCCTTACAGTATGTTATTATAATAAAAAAATGAAAATTAGTAATATAAATTGTAAACATACCTTGTCATGTGACAAGTTCATGAAATGTCTGTCGATGAACAATCTGTTGTAGCATCCCTTCACCTCCCACTTCAACATACGTGGCATATCTTCACCAACTATACGTGAGCAAATCGGATTGTCAGCTGCGTCACAAATCTCAAAAAACCAAATCTGCAGTGCTAGGATGAATCCATAGCATCTGTAAAGATAGTCATTCACATCGTCTTTTCTCGTATGCATCGCCCGACGATTGTGCAACGTCTTCTTCAGATAATGGATAGTGTATTCAAACACCTCTGTTCCCCATGGAAATTCATCACAATCGGACCTATCAATTATGTCCAAATATCGTCTATCAAGCAATAATGTGTCCTGGGCACCCAGTAAAAAATTTGCTAGAAGGTGAAGCTTTGCAAGCTTCACTGCATCCTCGTCATTCTTCCATACCTTCACATAGTGTATACAGATTGATGGGTTAATTGTACATATATATATATATATATATATACATATAATATAAACAACATATAAACATAGTTTTTATTCTGCACTAACACGATAACAGGAGCACAACAGTGTATAGTATATATAATCATAAAATAAAACAACATATAAAAATTTATGATTCTGAAAATAAGCTAAATCACATGAACATACAAAGTGAATATATATACATAATATGAATTTTGTCTAAATGTTTTCAAATGCAATACTTATAACATGAAGAAAAAGCTGACGATATATATATACATAAGATAAACAACAAATAAACGGTGATGAAACAAATATAATTTAGTGACTTGTGTATTCATGTTTATACTATTTTATTTTTATACGATAGTTTAATTCATTAATAAATATATATATATATATATATATATATTATATGATGTAACAAGTACCTTGGAGATAAATTGACTCCGTATGTAGTTCCTGGTCAATCGGAACCCAACAAAGTATGTATCAAAGAGACCGCCAGTCACTTGCTGGAAGGCTAATTTCTTGCTAGACCCAATGCATTTCATTCCGGTAATTAAGGCAAACTCTTCGATACCAAACCGGAGCATCTTCCCAGCAAAATTGATCCAAACCTCGTCAGACCTTCGCTGGTTTACCTCACGTAACAATAGCATGTTGACCAACTGAGTCTGAAATTTACAGTGAGGTATGTTTAAGAATTTGCCAAACACAGTTTTCTTGAACATGTCCAGTTGCCCCTCGGTCAACGATTTTTTAATGTCATTTATTGCGCAATCAGCCTTGCTGTTGTCATTGCAATTCAGAATTTTGATATGCATGGGCTTCGGATTGGGTATGAGCAACTCCCATTCCTACAAATTAAATAGCAAATTAAAAAGCATAATAAATAAAAAGAATGGGGTAGGCACAATGTTTGACTACTTGTCGGTTCATATTTACGAAGTAAGATGGCTGCTTATAGAAGGTTCAAACACGACGAACAATATCATTGTCAGACTTGGACTATAAGATCACTAAGCATAAGCAACCAATAATAAGTTCAGAATATCTCCTCGATATTGTTCCGATAAGTAGTACATACATTGTTACCACACATAAATGCAAGAAAACAAACAACTTCTGAAAATAATGACACACACATTAAGGGGAAAGTAGCAAAAATGACTGTTGATAGAAGGGGAAAATATTATTACATTTTTCTTATAAGATCAGGCCACAAAAACTAAAAAAATCATCGACAAACCAAATAACATCAAGCATCATCAACTCATCAAAATCAGACACCAACGAACAATTATTGAGCAGACAATTAAGGGTAGCCATAACACATTTATAAGTTGTCAGACTTGGACTAT